TAGTTAAGTTAAGGCAGACGCCATATTTTTTACCAAAATAATGAAGATTAGTTTATCTAAAAATATGGTAAAACAAATGTAAAAAAAAAAAAAAAAAAAATTTCCATGATACGGGCATAAATGGAGCTGTATGTTACAACACGAAGCTGTACACGTACAATATACAGTATTGTTAATACAGTACTCTAAACAAAATAATGTACGGTATACTACTATACCGTACACCAGCAGATGCTGTCATCTTGAACCTAGAGTAGACAGACACTGACCACTCAAGCTGAAAATAATATGTAACTGTAATCATGTCTTAACACTTGCAATGGAGGTGGGGTGGGGGATTAGTGGGTCATGTTACTGACCTGACCTGATGCAATGTCAAATCCATTGTCAGGGAGGAGGATTAGCGAGTCTCATGACCTGAAGATGTGTTGAATAAAGTAACAAACTAACATGCTCCAGTGTTTCCCACTTACTGAATGTACAGTATAGTATACATAACTGTAATCACTTTTTACCATATTAACACTGTACAGTATTCTTGGTTGATTTTGTTCTGGTACAATAATGTACAACACTTAACACAAACTGTATGCAAAAACAGCAGCTCGCGAAGGAACAATCACAGTAGAAGATGAACTACAGTAAACGATCCAAGCAGCTGGGCCACCCACATGCCTGGCACGTGGGGATGCATTGGAGCAGGATGCAATCTTTTGAAACTCCCAGAAAATTTATTCCCAGGCCCAGAACGGAGAGATTTGGAGAGAGTTCCGGAATTTTCTTTGAATTTTCCAGAAAATGCGCCTGATCTTCAACCTTGGAAAATCTTTCACAAACCCGGGATTGAGAGAAATCTTCCAGAAAAATTCTGAGCAAATTTCAATTTTGGGTTAGACAGTTCTGGCTAACGGAGATATTGTTGTATATGGGTAGCCAAAAATACAAAAATATACATACAGTACAAGGTAAAAAATAATCCCTTTACCTCTGTACATGGTCTCTGAAATTCTTGCTCCTCACATTCTCAAATATGAAAAAATCACAACTTAAATCCAGTCTATGAGTATGTTATATACTAGTACAAAATGGACGGATATAAATTTTGAGCATGTTAGACCAAGAACACCATTCATCATACAGTCTTTCACAGTATGAAGGATGCCATAATAGCAATCATCCATTATTATCAACTAAGGCAAAAACATTATATATAACCCTCATTATTTAACATGGAATAACCATCATTTTGTCAGTCAAGCAATTTTGTAACCACTATGTGAAAACAATATTGTTTGTAAAAAAAAAGAAAAAAAAAAAAGAGAATTGCAGATTAACAGGACCCATGAGGAACATCTTAAGTACAGTACATCAGTTTGGAATACTGGATAATTGCTTGAGGTTTGTTAACATCTTTACTTATATCAACTGAGAAACCCCTCAGCCTGAATACAGTACATATTATTTATACAGTACTATAGAATGTCTGTACGATTTACACAAAAGGTAATGTAAAAAGCAGTGCTGGATGTAGGTGTTCAGAGTGTGTGGCAGACGGGGGCATCCAACTTTAAATATAGAAAAGCAAATAAAAAGAGCTACCTTCTTTAGGTTTATTTTTATTAAGGCCTAGGTTCACCATTTTTGTTTATGTTTCACTTATCCTGTCTCATTTGTATATACTGAAATTCATTAATGGTCTACATGACCTGGCATGAGTTTCTTTACCACAAATAAACACTTTTATAAAAAAACAGCTTGTGAGTGTGTTACTAAAATTAATTACAGTAGTGTGGGCCCTGACAGGCCTAAATCCAGCACTGTTAACAAGTAAATCAGGAATGTGGTGCTTAATCCCTTCACTACGGGGCTGCCACCTTTAATAATTTATTTGGCTAACACCGGACAATCTTATTCAGCTCTGAGGCGATGCCATACACAAGAGGTTAAGTACATAATATGGTTACACAAGTTTTTATAAGCAAAGAATTTATACTGTATAAATCCTGTAATTTTTGCACTAAATTACAGCAACAATTAAAGTCTGGAAGTGACAAGAGATTCTTAAGTACAGTATATGTTTAGGCAACAGTTTTTATTAGTATGCACTTGATTTATGTAAGTTTTGGAATTCACAAATGGTACTGTTCATATTTAACCAATTCAAATATAGGAAAAATACTTAAAACTATTGACATAAGGAAAAATATAACAGCTGCAAATGAATACAGCACAGTATAAACAGTACATAAGTAACCAATAACTTTAAGTAAACACAAAAGTAATTGAAACAATCCTGTTTCATTAAACCATTTTGTTCATCTCACACAATATTATGCATGCACACTCGCTCCAAAAAGTATCTTGACAATTTTGTGAGACAATACTTCACAACAGACAAAAGATTTTGACAACCAATACCAAAACAGTACTCGCGGTGCTCATTTTTAAATTCACCAGAGCCCTCCGTAAAGATACACGTTTGGAGCGAGTGGACACTGTTCATATCCTAACACAGCAGGTACTGTAATACACTAAAGCTGCACTGTAAACTTACCTACTTAACATTATTGCCTATTTGGTTAAACATTTTCAACTCAGTTTAACTGGTTTAGACCTTTGTTATCACACTTTGGAACTGGACGGTCAATTATAATACCACTTTGAGACTGGACGGTTAGAATAACAAACCAACACCTTGTGAGTGGATGGATATATTACAATTTCTTTAGCTACCATTACATAAACCTGGAACACATATCTCTCACTCTTAATTTGCTCCTCTTATTTCTTTTTGTGCTGCCTGTATAAGCATAATTAAAAATATCTCAATACTTACAATATGGTTGAGAAAACTAAAAAAAAATTATAATCTACTACAGTAATTCAGGAGTTTGAATTGTAATGAAACAAAAATGAAATAAAACTTGGAATATTTTGAACTAATGTAACCATCATGAAATTCCAATAAAATTGTCATTAACAGTTCATACTAATTCTGTTTAAAGCCAGCTGACCACTTCAATCCAAACCATGAAAATAACACAAAAGCAGTATCTGTCACTCTCTAAGGTATAAGATACCCATTCACAGCTGCGTTAACTGGGGTTGCTCTGGGTGAAAACCAGCGACCCTTAAAGAGTATGCATGCACTGAATCCACTCTGCAGTAAAGAACAACCATTGCCACAGATAAACATGGTTCAAGGTGGGAAATATTTCTTAAGAACCAGAGGCCCTAATGATTCCAAGACTACCTTGCATTTTCAGGGCCAAAATTTATCAGTCATTAAAAATCATTGACAATGACTTAATACTGTACAACATTTTTAGTTTCATAGCACTACTGTGATTAAATCCATTAAGTTTTAAGTTTCATTTGTGCTTAACATTTGTGACCAGAATGCCTGTTTTCAGGTTGAAGCTCAAAGAAATGTCATCTGTTTGTTCTGACATCTTGGCCACTAGATGACCACACTCCTACTGAACCCCGAACACTGCCAAAAACATGACTTGATCAATGTAGCAGTAAAAAAAAACGTTACCTTTAGACAAGTTATGTCAAATGGGACATACATTAAAAAAACAAAAACAATTCATACTCTCCTAATTCAAAATCACCCATAATTCATATTGTTTTGCTGTTATGAAATATGTTGCAAGTTTTGTAATATTTAGTTAAAATTTCAAAATAGACATTTCAAAATATTGCTACTGTATATACAAATCACAATTTTCATAATAGCTGGTAAAATTTCAACTATGGGACATTTATGCATAAGTATGATGCACTGAGGCGAGCGGTTGCATCCCATGGTGCCCGCCTCAGTGTAAACAAGTATACGTGTGTCGGACCTGCCGGACAGTCGATCAGGGTCAGTTCACATTGGTCAGTTGTGAAGTGCATGTCCACGGTCTACCGCACAAGCTTTTCCATCATTGCCCAGTGTATGAGCCATTACCAGTAAGTCTGATAACCCTAAATCTGGTACTGCAGTATACTTAGAAATGTTTCAATTTTAACTGGGGCAGATAATGGAAAAGTGCTGTTGTTTTGTTTGTTTTTCCTTCGGGAGAAGGTGTCCCTCATAATCCACAAAATCTCATAATTCGTAAGGGCTAGAGCCCCTATTATTTTGAATTATGTGTTTTTTTTTTACTGTACAGTGCATACACTGTATATGGGATAAATATGTAAAAAAAAATCTGAAATTTATGGGTTATCTCTCCATAGGGTTCTGTTTTCTTGAATCTTTTAGGATGGGGAGGACCAAGCAAGTGCTTATATTCTCTACATGTAATTCATACTTCTAATTACATGTCAATATGGAGAGACAGAATAAACACAAAGAAAGTCACATGCATTTATCAGGTCTCAAAAATGCACAACCTAAACTGTTCAGACATTTCTTAAGTGTTCAAATCATTTACTAAGACCTAGTGAGATTCCAAATTAATTAAGAAGGGAAATGATGAAGTCAAATGTCAGAAGAAATGGCAAAGTACTATACACATTAATATAAGGGCATGCAAATATTATTACTACAGGTATATATTTCTTCTGGAAGCATATTGCATTATCAGCCTTATTAAATATTGTTTCCCTTGTCAATGCCCTTACATACCATTCTACTGTTTTTTATACTAGAAAATTAAATAAATTAATTTCCATTCCATGCTGTCAATGTTAATGCCAACAGGACACAGTGAATGTCTTGTTAGAGCTCTGCAATTCTCATGTCACCTCTATATAGTACTCTGCTTATATCAATATGTTTTGTGCAGGTTGTTTAACACTACTGTTCAGTAATTACCACTGTATGGATGAAATTATTAAAAAATTACCAACAGGGATTCCTGCTCATCTTCCACACTTTGTACATCAGTGTTAAAAACATAAATTTTCCCTAAGATCATTAGGTAACATGTTTTGCTCATGCCTGGAATTTAAACTGCATGCTCGTACTTTTCTGTTATTACTGGCTCATGATGTATCTCCGAAAACTCAATATGTGTAATGCTGCCACCCTTCTCATCGTACAGGCAGGACATTGTGTTCTCTGAGGAGGCGTCTTCTAATTCAAAATTTTGAGGTCTAGGTACGGAGCGGGCACGGCAGAGGCGATCGCCATACTTTATGATTATAAAAGCTATGACCATCACAAACATTGCCAAGCATGCGAGTGGGGGCCAAGCAGCATGAACTGCCATTGTTATTACTAATGGCAAACTCAAGTCACTTCCTACAGATATAGAACCTCCAAGCTGGTTCTGAGTGGCAGATAGAGAACGATGCACAATGTATGAGAAATTTGGTTTTGCACAACCTATAAGAGGAGAGGCATACAAACAGTCAATACTCTTATAACCAACATTAAAATAATAGATTCTTTAGAAGAGAGCATCCATGGGTCGCTGCTTGGGCGTGCGGACAAAGATAAGGGAAGCAAACCGGTTGCCAGTATCTGGGTCGTTCCAATACTTAGAATGCTCGTGACAGCAACTGCAGATCCAATTTACCTGTCAAAACAAGAAAGAACAGTAAATCACTTACAGCGTATCCTGACTTCCTTCAATTTACACATCAGCATGGTTCAGGCAGAATCGTGAACTTGCTTTGATCATCAAAATTTGCAGATATTTACTCTATGAAAGCATGGAAAATAACCATAAATGGTGATGATAATGATACAGCATACCTTGGTATGTGTGTGTGTGTATATATAGTACAGTATATGTATATTCTTAGTTTTCACATGATGTCACATACTCCCATAATGCAACGGGTCAATACCTACTAGATGGTGGACTGCACAAAGGATTATGGGAGTTGTGACATCAATGCAAACTAAGAATATTTGTACATTGTTTTGTGATATCTTATTGACTATTCATTTTACAAATTATAGTAAAAGTCCAAAAATCCGGATGCCAGAAATCCGGACCACCCGAGAATCCGGACTTTTCAAAAACTCCCTCTTTTTTTTTTAGCAGGCTTTTGTTTGTATGTGTGCATGCGTGAGCGCCACAGCTGCACAGCAACAACAAGCGACCACGTGGTCGCCACTTTAAAACGAGCAATCAAACTGTGACAACATATGTAATTTTGAGTCCTACTCTTTCCATTTACAGAGTACTGTACAAGCCCATAATAATGGCTCCTAAAGCAGATAAACTTCGTTGTGTGAAGAGAAAGAAGAACACGTTGAAATTGAGTGACAAATTTGAAATATTTAAGAAACTAGAACGTGGTGTGAGCAATACTGTTCTAATGAAAACATACGACATTGGAAAGTCTACAATTTATGATATAAAAAAGGCAAAGAATAAAATTCTAGAATTCACAGCTTTTTCATTAAAACTGCTCGTTTTGATAAATGAAGCATGCTATATTTGCTAATGAATAAACTATCAAAATGCACCTGTTCATCTCTTCTTTATTCCTCCTTAAATTTGAATTTTAAAAGTACTGCCTGAGAATCCGGAAAATCCGAAAATCCGGACCGACCCAATCCCCAAGCAGTCCGGATTTTTGGACTTCTACTGTAGTATAAACTTCTTGATATTTACTAAAATAGTAAGGAATTTAAGCCCGAGAACCGATTAATGTATTGGTGGACTGATACTAAAGCTGGTTGCCCGGTCAGTGCAAGCGAAAACATGTTGAGGTCGGTTCGTAAGAACTTCGTTAACCGAATTTTTTTTCGTTAACTGAATTGAAGATCCTTATGGAAGGCAGTTTGTTAATCGAAATTACGTTAACCGAGGTGTTCGTTAAACGAGGGGTCACTGTGTGTGTGTATATATATATATATATATATATATATATATATATATATATATATATATATATATATATATATATATATTAAATAGTTTGTGTACCATTATAATATTACTGTACTTTCACATACTCAAATATAGTATGCTTTAAATACACACCAAACATACTTAAACTTTATAAGTAACAGTTAAACAAAAAGCAAAAACGACATATAGGATAGGGAAAAAAGTAAAAAAGTGTAAAAAATTAGGACCATCTTTATTTCTGAAATGAAAACTACAACTTTCTACAAAGTAACTTTTCTTGTTTTTTGTTGGCAAATTCTTCAATGACATTGTCAAAACTATTTCATCTGTCAATTGTCGCTCTATAGACAGTATGGCAAGATTTCTCAACTGCAAGGTGCTCATAGTAGATCTTAAGTAATTCTTGATCAGTTTTAGTTTCGAAAAACTCCTCTCACAGGTAGCAACACTAACAGCAATTGTGAGGAAAATCCTCAGCATTATTACTATATTTGGAACCGAGTTCCCAAGGTTATACTTTTGAATAAACTGCAAAAGTTCAAGGGGGCCTTCTTTCCACGTCTGTATTCTGTCTTTAATAGTTATAGCAGCAACAGCAACAAAATGCTGAAGTCTTTTTCTCTCAACGAGGAACTCCTCTTTATCAATGTCGTCGTGATCGTGATCTATTTGACACTCATATTTATCATCCAAAAGATTCAATGGGGTAAGGAAGGCATATTTCTCAGCAAGTTCATGAAGCTGTTGAAATCTCAAAGTTATTTCTTGGATCACTCTGTCCAGCGAAGAAAACATTTCTCTCCTCAATTCAATGTCGTATGGCAATTCAGCATCTCGTGATCCTTCACCAAACATTTGTTTCTTCTTTTTGGGTCGACGCTGACGCTCCATGACTATCCCCCATGACTATCCCCAAATCAACTATTTAATTATGTCCGTAACTTTTAAAAGCCCTTACTGTTGTCAGACAAAAGCCACCCCGATCAAAGTAGGGGGCTTTTGTCTGGGTGGCTTTCGTCTGGGGGGCTTTTGTCTGGGTGGCTTTTGTCGGGGGGGCTTTTGTCTGTACCCCAGTGAGGATAGTGTCTTAGTATAAAATCGCAATGCTGTGAAACAAAATCTTAATATTTAATCTCAGTACCGCAGCAAAAGTCACATCAATATTTTTTAACCAATACTTTAATATTTCTTACCTTATAGTATTATGTCTTCCAACGAAGTAAATAACTGGATCGAAAACACAAGAGAACTTAAAAGTCGTCTAGCCTCCCCTCGTCTTGTCACGATGGAGACTTGTGCAGAACTGAAGTGAATTGCTTGTAACTGGTGGATTGGTCGGCTGTACATGAACTGATATGACCCGAGACTGCATGGTTTTGCAGCTACTGGAGACGTTAATCCTTCCCTTTGTATCGGCGGCAAGTTAATCCTCGTCGTGTCTGACCTAACACCTGACCCACACCACATGAGCTCACTGGCGTACTTGTTTGAAGTTGTTTCCTTAATCCTCAACAGGTTACAGGTTGTGTGTGTGGCGGGCGCATAGCAAGGGTGTAGCTCATGACGTGGCCGTGATGATGTGGGTCAGGTGTTAGGTCAGACACGACAAGGATTAACTTGCCGCCGATACAAAGGGATGGATTAACGTCTCCAGTAGCTGCAATATGGGATGACCCAAAAGTGCAACCGGGGCGGACCGCCCCTCCCGCCCCCCCCTAGCTACGCTAGTGGATGGAGGTTTTAATTTTAGTTTAATTTTTTCCCTAATCTCCTACTATGTGTAATTTATCCAATACTTTTAGTTTGCAACTCTCACAACCCTTTGTCTGTCCACCATCTTGCAGGCATAGACATAAGGTATTGAGGTAGCATGACGTGACTTGAGGCAGAGACTCACACATGCACACATATGTTTCTGCTTGTATGTATATATTGTGTATAGCATATATGTGTGTGTGTGTCATAAACATTTACAAATAATAATGGGTAAAATCCTCTCACAATCATAAACAAATGTACTAAAAATGTGTGTCTACCCTCAAGTCCACTCCGGGCTTTGTTATTAATAAAGCACGGAGTTGACTTGAGGGTAGACTCACATTTTTAATACATTTGTTTCTGATTATTTGTGAGAGGATTTTCCCATTATTATTTATTTGTATGTATTTTGTGTGTGTGTGTGTGTGTGTGTGTGTGTCTCTACACACACACACACACATACACACACATAATTATATACAATACAGGAATAATAGTCCTAAGGGCAAACACATAAAGGGAATATACATTTCTTTGCACACGAGTAAAAATGTACCTTCGTCAGCAAATGTTATTCGCGGATTTGGCTATTTGCGGCCATTTTGAGAACCTAACCCTCGCGAATTTGAAGGGCATGCTGTATTTGAGAATTAAATCATCACACAAATGCACGCATGCATATATACAGACACACTTGCTTTATAACATTTATTTGGTACAGTATACAGCATTACATATAGCTACAGTACCTAAGTAAAAACTACTTTATTATAATAGAAACACCAATATACGTACTCACCATAATAAGAACTAGTCCAATAATGGTACAGAAGGCAATCCCAACATAAAACGGAGTGTAGTCATTATATTCTGGTTTAATGCCGTATCTTTGGTTGATTTCAGCAAGTGAAATGTTGTACACAGGCATGTTAGCAACTCATTCTGTAAAGAGAGAGAGAGAGAGGATTTACAGTCAGTCAAGTCTTCATAACATCCATAACAGATGCCATAAAATACTGCACTTGTCCTCCCACCATAAATTCTAGCCAACTTTACCAAGATAGAACAACAAGAAAACCACAGTATAGTACTGTACTGCCCACTCAGAAACAACTTTTGGGGAAGATATAATTTTTTTTATTTTACATCATTTCATTCTGACTTCCAACAAGAATTTTATATGGCCTACAGGTTGTGAATGAGTCTCGTGAGAGAGCCATGCTACCAAGATACAGCTTGGTCAACAAAGGGGTCAGACATTTAACAGCAAGATCCAGTAGCTGCATTGTCTTATTTTACCTTAACTAAAACACTTCGCTCCCTAAGGCAGTTCCCATTTTAAAACAGGCAAGTTGAACAAAGTGAACCTTATCTAACTTAACTATAAATTACAGTACTGTATTCCAATTTTGTTTGGTCAGGTTAGGATTGGTAGAATCATGTTGTCTCTGACAAATGGCTTTATGCCACATGAAAGGAGCTAGTGCAAGACTGAAAAACTATTAACTTTTTGTTGTATAGTGAAAATTATTTAATACAGTACTGTACTGAAGAAAATCCTGATAAAGTACTGTACAGTACTGTTATGACCAATTACATCTGAACAACAACAGTTAATGTGTAAAGGTGGATGGATACATGGTTTGGGTACCCGAGCTATTCAACAAAAGAGCTTGTGTAGTCAAGAACACCAAATAAAGTTTTGAGTTAACCCCCTTCAGTACGGGGTGCCACTAATTTTCTTTTTACTAACCCACGATTTTATTCAGCAGAAACCCCCACCCCTTCTGTACACATGGGGTTATGGATTTCTTTTAATAGACCTTCCCCCAATGTAGTATATACTGTCTTATGTTAGATTAGGTTGCAAGCTCTGGGTTTGAGAGATGAAAATCAGGAGCAATTTCTGGAACTTCCGAGAACATTTTTCCATTACCCGGAAAATTCCAGGACGAGTGATTTTTTCCGGCTTTGAGAGAGCTGTCTAGTTACCTGGAAATCTCTCATTCCCATTAGTGCTCTGCATCAATTGTTCTGGCTACCAAAGATATCACTGCACATATTTTGTATGCCAAAAATATAACTTCTTACACACGAATCATTCTCTCACCCATTCCACCACATTCCACCAACAATCACTTGACCCCAACTATTTTCATTGGTCATTTATGGTTTAGCCCTAAACTCTCAGAAGAATCAAAGGTTTACACTGTACTCCTAAGTTACAGGGGCACTTTACACATTAAAATTGCTAATACTGGAGCAGATGGCTAACACCAGAAGGAGTTGTTTGATTTCATTCATTTTTTCCACAGGTGTTCTTTGGATGATAGTAAAAAAAAAAAAAAAATACGACTAATTTTAATTTAAACAAGTTTTTTTTTCCCTATCTACAATCATAAATCACCTGTTGTGGGCAGGATATGAAGGAAAAGGGAAATTGCAGGGTAAAACACAGTGAAAAACTGATCATATGACACTAAAATTGTCTCTACTCGTTTTGTACACAAGAAATTAATTATTTACCGCAAATATTCCTCCCCAAAATATGCCATTGTCCGCGCATGTGGGTCGTCAGCTCTCTTTGTTTACAACTGACCCACTCAGTCCGAGAGTACTCTCACACCCACAAAAAAAAAACAACGGAAAATTACACCATGATGCTTCAACAAAGTTGCTTTCATTGGTACCAGATAGCAACATACAGCAAGTACTTTCTCTTTAATATGGCAATGGTCTGGGGGGAAGAGCCCCCCAGTCAGGAAGGTTTCTTTGGTTAGGTCGGGTTCTATTAGGTTCTGTGCACTGCTGTATTATTTTTATTATCATCCCAAGAAAATCTGTGGAAAAATTAAAGATATCAAAGGTAAAGGTTTATAAAACAGCTACCACCAGAAGGAAATGTGCGATTTGGTTTACATTTTTGTACAAACTATTAGCATGATATTGAACACAGAAATGGAAACGACAATGCATAGAACCTAGTAAAACGTGACATAACAAACCCAACCTATCAGGTCAGGTTCTAGTAGGTTCTATGCATTATCGCATTCATTTATGTGTTTAATATTATGCTAATAGTGTGTAAATTTTTTTTAATCAAATTGCACATTTATTTTTGATGGTAGATGTAAACCCAACCAAACTAATCTCCCTAAGCCAACAAAAGTAAGCAAAAGAACCTAGGAAACCTTACCTAATGATTGTCACTAACAAAATTAACACTAAACAAACAACTTGTCTTAATTTGGGGTTACCAAAGTAAGCAAAAGAACCTAGAACACCCTACCTAACTATTGTCATGTAATGAAGGGGAAACTAGGTAAAAAATAATAGTAAGATATTACTGTAAGTGGAATGTAAAGAGAGGCTGTTTGGTAGCGTGGGTGATTAGTTATTTAACTGTATATTATATTCGTAGGGGGACTCTTTCTAAATACTCATTTTCTATACAAATATTTATTAATTAACTCAATGACACAGATACATGAATAGATCAATGTATATTGAAGTCATTAGACACTGACTCACGGACAACAGACAAGAAATGGATACACTTCCCACCGTAAATAACTCACCCTATGGATCGCTCTGACAAAGACTCACGTGTGACCTGAGGGAGGCCCAGCAGATGCTGCTGGAATATGTCTCCTGTGGGAGACTCTGCTAGCTGGGGCTCAGTGCTGGGGAGGGAAGTCTCCCTCTGGGGAGGAGCTGTCGGCTCATTCCCTGTTACAATAACAGGTCCAAATGCGACTGTCCCTGAGAGGGGGCTGCAGGGCCTTTATATTGGCGTGAGCCGGAAGATGTCATCACAAACCTGGGTGTGTCTAACAAGGCGACAGGTGTACTCGCTGGAGGGTAGTTTCTTGAGTAATACGGTCATTTCGACGGGTTAAGCTAATCGCGTGGCGGTGAAAACTCTGGGCCAATGAGACTGAACCTCTCCTGGCTCAGGTATTAACAGATTGTCCAGGTGTAGTTGCTTGAGTAACACGGTCATAACGCCGGGTTAACTCAGGTACCTTGTCCGTGACCTCTCCTGGGTCAGGTTTTACTGTCACTGTAGGGTGTATCAACCTATGTGGGTTACCACTTGGGCATCTACTCACTGTTATATGTGTTGCATTTCTCTGGGCTGTAAGCTGTGGTCTGATAAACAATAATTACTGTCATGAACAAAAAATCTTGGTAAAGGTTTACAAAAACAGCTATCACCAGAAGGAAACCATGATGTAGATGAAGTCGCTGTAACACGAATCATCACGTGATGTACCCCTCCCTGGGGGAATCGCAGACAAGTGCGAGAGACACAGTCTATAGAGAATTGCATTTAATGTTAACGTATAGAAAAACAATGACAAGAGAATGGAATGAGTCTAAAAGATCATGTAAAAAGAATAAGGCAGGCACAGTAAAGAGAACAGAGAATGCATTTAGTAAGTAAACAAAAGAAGAAGAAACCGATATACAGTATACGCAATTCTAAACTTAATAAAGATACGTAATTATTTTATTAATAAGATCAGGAGTAATGGAACACAATTTATACAGTTGGAGAGGAAGGAGCATTGACGGAGGGAAGGGAATTAGGTGAAGCCGGACTGACTTACGGTAAGAAAATGATTTTGGCGTTAGAAATGCATCCAGACGTAATTTTAATGACATAACATCAGTGTTTGGTGTATTTTTACCCAGTAATTTCCCTAATCTTTCATGCCCTGCCCACTAACATGGAATTTAAGATTGTAGGATAAAGTACCTGGTAAATAATAAATAATAAAAAAAAAATTAAATTGTAATAGAAAGTTGTCGTTTCTTTAAATATACATCACTTAAAATCATCAAAACAATAAGTATTGCAAAAATAAAGAAAATCAACAAACAGCTTCTAATGTTAGCTGTGTTGTAAACATTTACCAAATCAAACAACACCTTCTGGTGCTAGCCATCTGCTCCAGGATTATTTTTAAATTTAGTTTAGGGTTTTCACCCTTAATTTGCATTATATAAATCTAACATTTCCATACGGTAATCCTATAAAAAAATATCAAGGGCAAGGTAGCATCTATCTCCTTAACTTTTATTGAATAATCAAGAAATTCCTATACCTGAACCTTGACAAAGGGTATTTTTCCTTCTTAACACCTGTTAGGTTAGGGTAGGTTTAAATAAATTAGATTAGGTTAAGTTAAATTAGGTTGAGCAGACACGAGTGATTTCCCACAGAAATGGATGTCAGAATCATATGAATCACTTAGATTCTGAGGAAAATAAAATTTTAAGCTTCAAAGGGAGTTGGGTGTAAATCAGGTTATTTACCTGACACAGTAGTGATGTTATATTCAAATTATCCTGCCTTGAAAGGTATACAGTAATTACACAGCCAATATTCACAGCACCTCAATACCTGCACCTAGTAACACAGCTCCTTGGAAGGACATTTTTTTTTTACTTCATACCCGTTCATATCACAAAAACATAACACGTACTTCTACTGAACCATATCAATATATTAGTACACACAAACACGTACACTACTCAACTGTTATTAATATACAGACAAACAAACACGTACTCACACTGAACTATCTAGTTTTATTAAACTTTAAAACATTACCCTGACAAAGGTAGAGCTAACCTCCTGGGCCCCACCCAACACAACGGTCCAGCCACCCTACAAACAATTCTTCCATTTACCATTTAAATTACAAATTCATCGTATATTTCTATCTCTTGTATTCATTGATAACTTAATAAATCATCTGTTCGTATATAGAATGGTATTAAAGCACAAGTAAAGGTAAAAAGGTATAAATTATTTTACCTGTTTCAAACCGCCTCAGATTGTTGTCTCGGCAGGTGACTTGAGCTGACCATTGCTGCCACATCTACCAGGAGCCTCTTTACAGTGGTGCCAAGTCGACACAAGCTAAGGCATATTATTCTAATCTCTCACATCAATTAGAATATAAAGTCATTCTTATTCACTGGTAAATATTAGTTAAGATATACTACTGGACATTAATTTATTCTCCTGTAGTAAAACTGGACAATAAGTGCCATAACAATAACAAAGAAAGGGCACAATCGCCCCAACGCCAAGAGAGCCGATATACAAAATATAAATTAACTGTATCACTTTTACTTATTTTACTTTTATCTTCTTCACCACTGATCGGCTCGTGAGCCTCTTCGGCGATCGGCCACGTCTCTGTCACACACTGTTGTCAAGTACTAGTCATGTACTGGCTCTCTGTTACTTTTACTTTTACTTTTATCCTCTTCACCACTGATCGGTTCACTGGCCGCCTGGGCGATCGGTCACGTCTCTGTCACGCACTGTTGGCAAATACTGGGCATGCACCGGCTCCTGAATGTACCTGAACCCGCTCCAGTGTTGGTCAAGTCTTGTCTTGAAAGAGCTCACACTCGGGGCCGTCACAACACTCTCTGGCAGATTGTTCCAAGAGTTTACAACCCTCACTCCGGCAAAGTTCGCCCTCACAGCTTTCTGGACTTGCGGCTTCTTCAATCTTGAGCTGTGACCCCTTGTGGGGCGAGCGTCCGCCAGCTCCAAGTAAGGACACTCGACTGAGTAGTGCCCCCTGAGTTGCTTATACACCTCAACTAGGTCCCCCCTTGCCCGTCTGTAATATAAGCTCGGCAAGTTCAGGCGCTCCAACCTCTCAGGGTAGCTGAGGTGCCGAAGTGCAGGCACCAGTCTGGTGGCCCTCCTTTGAACATTTTCAACCAACTGACAGTCCCTAGCATATCTCGGGGACCAGACTTACGAGGGACGGACCGTCTAGATATCTGAACGACCTTCTTATAAGACCCAATAATTTATTTGCCTGCCGCACAATTTGTCAATGTGAATTTAGTGGGACGGACTTACAGGTGTTACATAAAAGTAATTTAACCTCCTCGCAAATTGTCGGCTCAGTTCTAGCTGGTCGGGAGGGCTTATAACTAATTTGTTATTGTTGATTGAACATGTAATTACTAACTTGTCTTGGTACGAAGTGTCTGTGCTGAATAAACTGGTCTGGCGTTTGTCAAATAAAATATAAAAAAGTGGCGTCCACTGGTGAAGGGGTTAAAGACCTAAGTTGTTGAAGCGTAGTATTGACTTACTTTTACGTTTTACTTTATCGGTCATGTCTCTGTTACTCACTGTTGGCAAGTACTGGGCAGTGGGCATGCACTGTTAGTAAGTACAGTATTGGACATGCACAGGCACAAGTTGTCATTGCACTTGGGTAAAACAAAAACATTCTTCTTTGTCCGTAAACGGCGGATACAGATGGTAAATTCCATCAAGGTATCGTGTATTGTAAATTACAATAATTCGAAGTAGCAGGTAACATATCAAACTGTAACCTTAGATCAACTGTTATCAGGTGAGAGTATTGCATCAAAAGTTACTCTAAGTGTTAATAACCATGGGCGTACGGAATAATATACCTCTTAGATGTTTTGGGGGACCGAAAAATTTATTTTGCTAAAAATCTCAGCATTACTTTATCCTCTTCGCCACTGGTCGGCAGTATGATACAAACAAATGCCTAACTTGACCTCACTAATAACATACGACCTTTTCAGTATCATCTCGATCGTATATACCGAAAAATAAATAAGTAAATAACTAAAATAAATAAAGAAAAATAAGAAAAAATACTGCATGACGCATCCATTTATTTTTATTAAATTTGTTCGGTGAAAATTAACGCCTCATTTTCTATTGCAGTAAATGGAGAGCAGTGCAAACTAATGAAAAGTTTGTATACTATTAAAACAAATCTTAATCACCTTATCGACTTCAGCCAAGAATATTTGTATTTGAACAATAATCGCCATGAATTCCTCCTAATAGTAAATAACACTATTTTTCTCTACTAACCTAACTGTAAGGGCTGTAATGAGCGGGTCGGTTGTCTTTATCAACTCTGGTTATGTACTCCTCGGAGGTTCCTGGGGCTCGTGGGCTGATTCCCGGTCCTTTACTATTCAACTGTCAACTCCGGTCACCTTCAGCTACTGCTATGTGATCACCACTTCCTCCACGCCCTATCCACTGTCCGTGCCCTGGAGTCTCTCTTGTGTGGCAAGACATCACCCTCCGGCGCCAAGTTAGAAAGCTGCCCTGGACCTACCCTCTGAGAGCGGATCACCGTGTTACCAGAACATTATACAGTGCTGGTTAGAAGATTACTCCTTGGAAGCCCATGGTTCTTGACTCTCCTTTGATAAGATCCTGTTAAGGCTGGCTAGGGATTTATATCCTACAGGCCAGGCCTTTTCACTACCTTACCTTAACTAACGTGGCCAGCACTGTTAGTAGTCACTTTAATGTGCTATTATCGCCCGGTCACACTACGGAACTGAAAATCTCGGACGAATATTTCCTCCATTTCATTCATGGGACAAATTTAGGCAAAAATATGGAATATCAGAAAGGGAAAATTATATGGTCGGGTAGAATCTCTTTAAGAGTCTTAAATCCGGAGTTTTATTGGAATCGGGGGCATTGGGAAGGTCTTTTTATCGGTGCCACAGAGGTGGGGTGGATCAGGGGTCGGGGAGGTCATTGATTGGGGATGACCCGGTGGTGGGGAAATGTGAAGTCAGGGAGGTGTCACTTGCTGGATATAATATTGGAAAAATTATCCCTTTCTTGTTTTTCAAATAGTAAACATTAACACAACATTAAATTTCAACAATATTACAGATAATATCTGATAGTAGACACTTAGATCCGATAAACCCAGTGTTTTATTGGAATCGGACATCGGGGAGATAGTGTTTACAGGGGGGGGGGTTGATAGGGTTGATAGAAGGGGAAGGCAGGCAGTCTGGTAATGGTCAGGACCCTCTGTACAGACGCTGAAACACCATAGTTCACCCTCAAGGTCTAGTCGCCTGCTTCCTCACGGCGACGTCTGGCTAACAGTGTCTCTGCAGGCGCTTTCTTCCCTTCAGAGATCTACCACAACAAGTTAAGAAGAAAGTGTTGACAAGAGAAATGTTTATCAATAAAATTGTCTCGTGGTGATCACTAACCCACGAATATCCTGTTCTTCAGAGGGAATGTTTTTTATTGCCTAAACAAACCATGTTGTTGGAGGCAAGAATGAAATCGTTCCCGATATTATCTTATATTTCTCCTGCCGGGTAAGTGACCCAGAACTGAAATCATCACACCTCGTTGCGTTTGATGATAACCTGTACAAGGTTTTTGACAGACCAGACAGGGTGAAACCGTACAGACAGTGCAAGTCATACACACATAATGGTATAAAGTAAGTTAATTTAACCAAGGATAACGCGAGGAGCGAGACATATCACATCCTTTATAAAGAAAGTACCGAAAAGAGTAAGAAGTGAAGATTGTAAATGTTATCCTATTGGAATCTCAAACTTGTCACATCAAACTCGGGTGATGGAAAGATGGCTGAACCTTGTCTCGACAAGCAGCTTTATACAAGTCTTTGGATACAGATAATCGCCACGAGTAATTTCTTTCTCTGCGTATCTGTGGGAGGGAGGTGGTGCCCGTCCCGCCATCCACACACAAACACATGCGGAAAAAATATTATACACGAACATACTGTATGTAAATATTCAAAAACAAAAAATGGTATAAAACTACGCTAAAAAATCCAAACGAATATTATTTCACGGTGTTAAATCCCCTGACGTTTGACTGATAGTATTTAATTAAGTTTAAAAGCCGCGCTTACTGTATTCTCACCTCCCCCCAAATGTAACAGGAAGTGACGTTACATATTATTCTTTCTAGTCGAATTTGGGTCATTTTTTTATATTTTAAATTCTGTACCCCTAAAATAGACAACAATAAACTATAACAGGAGATAAAAAATGGAAATCTAAAAGTTAGTCAATGAGGCACCTGAGTCACACTCCAGGAAAATATATACGAGGAAGCGCGTCTTAATGCTACTTAATATAGATCACACAGTGCGCGCCAGATCACAGGATGGAACTGTTTAAATGGAGGGCAAAGTTGTTTGCTGTTTGTTTTGACTTGGCCGCTGGCCATGGTCTTTTTAGTTTGATAATGTTCATGTTTTCTGGGAATGGTTCTTACATTTGCTGCCTTGAACTGATAAATAAATGACAAGTAATATGATTGTTAGACAATAAAGGTAGTAAAGCTATTTAATTTAATTAATTACTGTAGAACATGTAGCACATTGCAATACAAATAAAGTGTTTTGTTTGTCTGAAACTATTTATAAATATTGACTAAAATACTTAAGAACACTATAAACGCCTTAGTTAAGGACGTTCAGGTGACGGGCAAGTCGAAGGGAATGATTGAAACCCGTCTTTTGACGCATTCAATATTTATTGATGTGGTCAAAACCTGCAGAGGAGAAGGCGTTCATAATATTACAAGGTGATGCATCTGATACATAATTAATTAGTCTCACGCAATTTTATCTTAATTACAATTTATTAAACATACTGGCATAAAAAAAAGTTCATAACTCAATTAATCTTAGCTTCGCTTCATTCTTCATTGTCTATTATTCCAGGTTAGGCAGAAACGAGTAGGCGTAATTAGTCAACAATATTTCAGCACCGAGGGGTATGTCATCACTTAGGCTGTACTTACAAGTGCGGGTCAATGCAGATCAGTATGATATTCCAAGAGAAAACAGTATTGCGTAAATCGTCCCAGCACAAATTCTCGGACAGGAGAAGGCTGGTCTTCACAGCATCACTAGAGAGGGCAATCTGTCTCATGGAGGGGCGGGCAGCACCGCCACCAGTCTAAGACAGTCCACTCAGCAGAACCAGGACTTGTCTGTAAACACTTCTACATCTGGCGAGGTCACAGGTCGAAAGATTTAATGGCATCA